TACAGTACTTGTGGAAATTTTTGCTTGAAAACAGTATTTGCTTTACTATGAATAGTACAGTCTACTTGTATGACTGATTTTGGAAATGGAAGACATCTGTGATTGTGAACTAAGTCCACTGCAACTTTCTCGAGCACAAAATGTAAATTTAAGTTCTGGTCCATCTTGAATAATTACTTTTTGGACACCTAATTTCCCCTATAATTCAGTTAATATCAAATAGATTTTTAAGGTATATTAAAAATCTTACACCTGTCATAAATGTATCCATATTTGTGCTTCTTATGTTCTGTAATGTTTCTATCAAAAATATCCAGAGCGTAGCAGTGGTTGCACGGGATCCAGCAACCATTATTCCTGTCTGTGTCACGTCGGTGGGGACTTCTGGAAGGTGTTTTCCACTTTCCAGTTTCCCTAATATTTGAAGATTTCTGTAAAGTTACTTATCATCCAGTCCTAGGACTATCCAGACCCTTAGTTTTCATTAAGACTCTCACTAGGATTGCTTTTTGTAAATTTTTTTTTCCTAGAGTTCACGCTCATGGTGTAAACCACTACTTTATGAGAAGTGAAAAGGCTGGATAGGTTAATGTGCAGTTGTACAAACTTAATTTGTAAAGGGCTTTCTCATGGCTATAATATGTATACTAGTAAATCTTTGATTTCCATAACTTTAGAAATGAAAAAACAGCGACATAGAAGGTTGAGTATTACTATATAATTGCACAGAGTAATAATGTACTCTTAAGTTATTCACATTGGAGAAAGACAAGGTAAGCTTTACTGCCAAACAAATTAAAGAAATCAGCACACAAAAGAAATTTAATCACAAACCTTTGTTTCAAGATATAAATGAAGTGCAAGGGGAAAAAAAAATCAGACATCGTGTGTCTCACATTTTGCTCAGCACGTTTCATGTAATAAGCAGTGCACAGGAAAAATGGGTTATAAAAACCTACAAGGATAACAATGGAAAGAAGACTACTATGATAATAAATAATTGTTCAGAAAAATAAGTTCTAAAAAAGTTGAGAAACAATGAAGATGAAAAACATTTAGATGCTGCTGATAGGAATGTCTGTGTCCCAGAAGAAGGCATTGTGAAGAAAACCTCAGAAAGAGGAAAAAAGGTGGGAGGAATAGGTGATGTTTCAATTTATGGCTTCATTTCCATCTTCATAGTCTACTGCTTTGATTCTTTTCAGGAACTGCTTGTTGTCTACTATGCCTATCTTTATCTCTTTTGAAATATCTAGTGCAGAAACCTTGTCCTACTAGAAAAATGGAGGACATGCAGTAGTAATTTACCTGAATAAAACTCAAAGAAGATAGGAGTTTTATAATGTGTCATTAGATCTGTATAGTCCTTTGAGCCGTCTTTGGGCTGCAAACAGTAAGTTTACAATTGCTTAATTTTCCTCCATTATTACTTCTGTAGGTGACAAGTGCCATATAATGTGTGACAACAACCTGGGTTTCTTCCTAGTAAAAATGTACCCAGATCAGACAGGTGAGAAGACTCCAAGAATCAGGAGTGATCTTGTCTCTCTTCAGAGTAGTAGGAGTCTGTATCAGCTGAACAATCTTCCATATAGAATTACCAATCTTCTTTTTTAATAAAATACTGCATCACTTAAAAATGCAAAGCATTCAGAAAATAGGAAGCTTGGGTTTCTTTTTGTTCCTCTTTTATCTCCAAGCTATTTTCCAGTCTCTTCTTCCCTGTCATCTATCTTAAACAGTTTCATTTTTAATGAAAATTGAGATTCATACTTAATGCAGTTGATCAACATTAAGAACTCTACTTCTTTATATCAAACACCAAGTATTAAGAGACCAGAACTACAACTGTGAGAAGTGATAACATTATATAGCATTTGTGCTTCACTTTTGTGCCTGCAAAGGGATACTTTATGCCTTTTGAGGTATGCAGGATCTCTGTCATGGTCAAAAAGTGAAACAGAAAGTTTGACTCTGAAGAATAAACATATTGGGGAGAGTATTCTGTTCACAGTCCTAAGGTCAGTACTGCTACTCCTCTACAAAAATAATTAAGTAATGTATCTAACTTACTATGCCAAATATTTGTACCTACCTCAAGGCATACCTTACTGTAATTGTGTTTGTTCATCAGTAACTGACCATTTTGCAGGCTGTAAAAATTAGTATAATCCGCTGATTCTCATAGTCTTCTTGTTCACCAGAAATGACTGTACAATAAGTAAACTTTTTATCTGACTTTATATCTCAATTTTATTTTCAAGTATGTGTATGTGAAGGCATTTGTGTCCACCCTCACAAGTTGTGGGCCATTAGCTGACCACCGGCCTATGATTCCTCCCTTGGCACTCCTGTGCAGCCTGGCAGCTTGTATAGTATAATTCCGCAACCCACTGCCAGCTGATAGACAGCTTGAAAACCATTGTTTCATGAAGCAAAGACATTGTGTGTCTGTGGTCTTTTGGAAGATCTAGTGTTAATTTACATATATCCTGAATATAGTATCACAATCTTTACCAACTTTCTAAAATATGAGTTTGATTTTCACAGAAGTGTTTTTGTAACTTTGAGTAATGATGAAAAACACTTCCTCAGATGACTCTGAAAGAAAAAGAAAACTGTCACATACAGAACAGACAAAAATTATGTGAACTGAGCATAATCTTTCTTTACAGGCATCATACTATGTTCACTATTTATGATATATTTTCACAAATAATCAGACTTAAGTATGAGGAATAAACTTAAGACACATCAGTATATACTGGTTTTTTTTAATCTGACTCAGAACTTGTTTGAATGATAGGTCAGACTCGGGTAGGAAGATGTCCATGATTTTAATTAACTTTGTAGATTTTCTTTGAGATATGACCTCATTACTTTTTCCACTCCTTATGTGCATCTGTTACAAAAACTAGACTTTATTTAGGTAAAACAGTAACAAAACTAATGATTAAAGTGTAATCGGAACCATAAATTCTTTAAGTTTCATGGTGATACATTTTACAGACTTGAGTATAAGCAATAGCAATCAGTTTTTGTTTTGCAGCTGTCTTACTTTGACCAAACCATACCACATGATAACAGCAAACTGTCTAACATAGTGCACATTGAGCTGTTTTATACATTTGTTCATATCTTCAGCAAGAATAAGTACTTTTATGTCACTGTAGCATCAAGCTCAAGAGTCATAAATGTTCTTAGTGGCAGAAGTGTTAAAATTCTTAAAACAGATGATAGTATTTATGCTCAAATACAGACTCTGTGTATCAAATAATGTAGTGCAATTTCAATATAGATCAGTTGATCAAAGTAGTTGTAGATACACAAACTTTTAAGTCTTATATATGGTTCAAGACTTTTACTTTAGACTATAGTTCAGTCCTTTGTCATGAATGTCCTAACCACGCATAATGTTTGAAGGTGTTTGTCATTGGTTCAGATCTTTCTTTCTGCATTAGCTGTAGAAACAAATTTAGTGCTTACCGTGTGCGGAGTTCTAGTTTCTTTCAAGAGTAATCTAGTTTGTTTGCACCAAAATCATTCTTCAAAACCAATGAATGTGCATTAAGTGCTCAGGGCATTCACTTCAAATCTGTGCTACAGCTCCAATCCAAAACATTAAAGCTACTCTGGAATATTCACGTAAGACAAGCCATTTGTGAGCACGTTAGCTATTTAAGCAATAAACAAACATTGTAAATTTAGTTTTAAAGTACTTTGCCCATGATGTTCCTAAAATTATAGATTTAATTATGTTGCTTAACATTTTTCTCCCTTCAAAAATTTTCTGTATTTATTACATTAAGATGGGAATAATAATAGATATTTTATTATGTAGTATTTTAATACATTGTGAAACAATTAAATGTTATATACATACAGTATATAATTAATATGTTATTAGCATGTATTATTATTCCAAATGTATGCTGTAGAGAAGCCACAATAGGTCTTTTATCAAGTATTACTACAGGCTGTCTCTAATCTAAAAAAACATGTTTGAGATCGAGGGAGGGAAAGGAAGACTGTTGATTTTCTTAGCTTCTCATCCATCACTGAGCCAAAATTCCTTTTCCTGTAGTACTGAGTAGCTTTTTATTTTTGATGGAAACTGTAACGCAAAGATAAGATGGGCAGAGAGAAGATGGAGCTAGTTCTCTGGTTTCTCACCATCTTTCATAATTGTGGGAACATGTTTCAGGGTCCTTCAAATTCTTTTTCATTTTGCATAAAATGTGAATTGTTAATCTGTGGGTTTATTTCCGTGACCTCAGGTGAGGGGTAGTTGGGGTGTGTTGCCTTTGTCTGGCTCCCGGATGCGCACCTAGCCTCTGTTCTCCCCCTCCTCAATAGGACAGGGGAGAAGATCAGAAAAGCTTGTGCATCAAGATAAAACAGGCAGATCACTCACCAATTACCATCACAGCAAAACAGACTCTACTTGGGAAACAGTAATTTATTGCCAGTTACAATAGAGTTGGATGGCGAGCAATAAGGACAAAAACTGAAATACCTTTCCTCCACCCCTTCCTTCTTCTGAGGCTCACCTTCACTCTTTCATTCCAATATCCTCCATCTCCTTCCCCCTGAGGGGTGCAGGGGGATGGGGAATATGGGCTGGGATCAGTCCCTAACAGCTCCTCTGCTGTTCCTTCCTCCTCACACTGTTCCCCTGCTTCAGCATGGGTGCTTCCAAGGGCTGCAGGGGAATCCCTGCTCTGGCACCTGGAGCACCTCCAGAATCTCCAGCACCTACTCCCCCCAACTTCTTCACCAACCTTGGTGCTCACAAGATTATGTCTCACACTTTTTTTTTTTCACCTCCCTCACTCCTTTTTTCCACAACTGCTATGAAGAGCTTTTTACCCTTTCTTAAATATGTTTTCCAAGAGGCACCATTGTCTTGGCTGAGGGACTCAGACATTTTAAATTGCTTCAAGTACTTTCAAATGTATAAAAACATGGGGGTTTATTTCTTGTTCTAACCTAGAGACCTGGCTGCACGGAACTGCTTGGTTGGTGAAAGTAACATTTTGAAAATAAGTGATTTTGGAATGTCCCGGCAAGAGGATGATGGTGTGTACTCATCGTCAGGCCTAAAGCAGATTCCTATCAAGTGGACTGCTCCAGAAGCTCTCAACTATGGTAAGGACATATCTGTATCTTCTTGTAAAAAAATATAATCAAAAGTAGCCTAAGGACAACCAGAACTACACCATGGGAATATTTGAATATATGTACATATGCCTAGTGCCCAGTTCAAGTCCATAATGTTTAAAATAATTTTAGTATTTCAGTCTTATTTAAATTATATATAAAATGCTAGTTTAGCTCAAAAAAGAATAAGGCAGCAACATCAAAATTGCTATTATGCAGCAATAAATTAATGCTTTGGTTTTGTTGCTGACTCATTCTAGTAGATTACCTAATCATTTATCTAAATCATAATTGTTATCAAAATGAATGGCAAGTTCTGCATATTTATGGCAGTGATTGTTCTAGCGCCTCTTTGAAAATGGTAGAAAGTGTTAACATACTAGAACACTCTATCAGATTGCACTGGAGAAAAGTACAGTCACTGATTTATGTATTTTTCTAACTACAGCTTTTCTTTACCTGCATTTTTATATATTGCTAGACTGTTATCTTGGGGAAAAAAAATCCATTATTTCTGATTAAGGGAAGTGGTCTATGCTACATGGGTAATAGTTCCAGAAACAGAAGCTGCGGTATTTAGCTTTTTAGCTTATATGAAACTAAAAAAATAAGTTCTTCTAAGTAAAGTGGGCTGTGAAGAAGCAGCATATTACATGAGCGATGCTATGTTTTAGACGTAGTTCTCCCAAGCAGGTCTTTAGTTGAATACTTAAATTGTTTTAAATTCTTTGTTTGAAGTGTCTATAAATGTTTCTGCCATCTCTTAAAGCTTCTTTTTAAAATCATGCATTGGCAATCATAAGTTTGTGACTTATGATTGATAGCAAAATGCTTCCTCTCATTAGCTCTTTTGCAGGAGTTAGTACAATAATACAATAGAGCAGATCTTCCCTTTGGAAGACTAATAATAAAGTTAGTTACAGTAGTTGATCTTGTGTTATCAGTCATTCTAAGAGATGTTAGTCTTGCTAGCATTCACTAGGGAACACACTTTTCTGGTTTGGATGTTTGTTCCACTATAAAAGGTGGTTTTAATTGTTATTTTGTTATTTCAGAAATGTGTACAGTTTATTTGAAATACAATGGAAACCTATCCTTCATAGCTATATGAAGTCCAGCAGTATATAGGCTCCTGTGACAACACCTTCAATTTGTACTTTTGAGTCTTTTTTCTGCATAGCACAGGAGAGGAGAGGATACGTGATTAGCATCTACTTATTTTGTATTTCCTGAAATGCATACATACTCAAACATCTTTAAGTGATTTTCTGTAGAGTTTGGAACATAAGCTCTCAAACATTTTTTAATGTGTTCAGGAATCTAATATTCAACTTTAAAAATGTCGTAGATGGCTTCTGTGTGTTTTTGAATGACCATTTTTTCTACTTCCTTGAATGATGTGGGTAAAAATAATTGGTCATAAGTATTGAATTAATTTCTGTAGGTAAGGCTGAGGGTATTTAAAGATATCATAGTGAAATAGAACTAAACCAATAATATTTCAAAACTAGTTGGCAACCATTGTCCATGTCAGTTCTTAATGGCAAGATTTAAGGGCTGGAAGAAAATGAGGGATAGGGTTATTTGGCCATTACATGGATAATACAGAATCACAGCATCACAGAATGTTAAGGGTTGGAAGGGACCTCAACAGATCATCCAGTCCAACACCCCTGCCAGAGCAGGACCACCCAGAGTAGATCACATAGGAACACGTCCAGGCAGGTTTTGAATGTCTCCAGAGAAGGAGACTCCACAACCTCCCTGGGCAGCCTGTTCCAGGACTCTGTCACCCTCACAGGGAAAAAGTTTTTCCTTATGTTAATGTGGAAACTACATAAAAGTTTGGGGTTTAGTCACTTCTGGATTCACTGTATATGACAAATTAATAACAGTCACAAAAGGATTTTAAATTAAAAAAACACAAGATGTGAAGTCTAGAAACCAGATTAGGGTAAATGGTTAGGGAGCTGCGTCTGAAGTCATAAGCAAAATCCTGATGCTACTGGCACTTGTGGAATACTGAACCTTCGATTCAGTGGGTGCTGTTCAGTGCCATTCAATACTGTTACTTTAACTTGGAGCTATATGGTTTCCATCACTTCCAGCAAGTGGAAAAAAATGTTTGAATAGCTCCTAGTAAAATTCCATATTTATGCCAAGTGTAGGGTATTTTTGCTTCCCATTCTCCCAAAATTAAAATACACATTTAATATGCATGTTTTTCCAGTACAACATTTTTAGTACTTTGGCATGTTTTTTTGTGAATGAACAGGTCTTTTTTTTTTTTTCCTCACAGATAATGTCATAGTGGAAAAGGTAATTAACAGTGCAGAACTTGTACTTGCTTTAAAAAAAAACTAATCACCTATCTCACATCTTCTGAATTATTTCAATGAAAAGTGTTAAATTACTGGATGCAAGTCTCTGAAGAGAGTTGATACATAGACAAGAAAACTAATGTTACTACAAAGAGCATAGTGAATGTCCATAATTGCATCTGCGAGGCACACAAGCTAATGTAGGACAGCTGGAAGTGATACTTAGTTTGACAGTAAATGTAACTTTCTGATGTCAGAACAGTTGTCATATCACCAACTGTCACTATAATTTATATGTATTTTCCCTTTTTCTAGTCAGAAGTGGCTTTGGTTTGTTTAATGATTAGAGATGAACAAACGATACATTCACAAGCAGGTATATATTTTAAAGAATAAAGACACATATATACAATGTGATAGTATGGAACAAAGAAGAACTCTCATGAAAAATGTTGAGAGTGATGTTGAAAATGGATTTTTAAGATAACTTTTTCACAGATCCTGCTGCAAATTACTAGGAGTCTTAACTTCCTGATGTGAAACCATCTTTCTTAATGTGAATACATCAGGGACAGTAGAAATACCTGCTCCCATAATATAAAGCTTTCATTACACAAAGAGGTTTGGAATTCAATTATCTATCAGTTATCTATTTTGCTGTCTCTGAAGCATAGTTGAAGATAATGGAACCAGCAGGCCACATTTTCTTTCTTTTTCTTTAATTGATTGGGTGCATCCATTCTTCAGGGTCCAATTTAAACTATACTTTCATTTTCAGAGAAGAGTTTCTCAAAGAATAAAAAACAGGCCCTCTTTACACTTACCATGTTCGTGGTAGCTCCTCTCAGAATACTCATTTTCATACTATATTAGGTAACTGGGAAAGGTAGGTTTTTTTCAATGTCTTTTGAATTGGAAGTGGTTATAAACAAGGTGGGGGAGAAACTGACAGTTTTCCATCCTTTTCTTTTAAAAGGAAAAAAAAAAATTTTTGTACATTAAGAAGGAAATAAATTCTTGCATGAAAAATAACTGACAAAGTAAGGTCTGTCAAAGAGTAGAACTTTGAGTTAGCTTATATCATTCCTAGGTATTGACCTTAAGATAATTTGTTTATCATTTGAAATACAGGAGACTATGATATCTGCAGAGTGTATTATTAGTAGCTACAGCTTTGTTCTGCTTAAAGCTTGACAGTGTAACACTTTATCTTTACAGAAAATTTGGGGCCATAGTTATCTGAAACGTTAATTTCTCTGTATGTTAAGCTGAGGGTTTTCTCTCCTTCTCTTAGGGAGATACACTTCTGAGAGTGATGTATGGAGCTTTGGAATTCTTTTGTGGGAGACCTTCAGTTTAGGAGTATGTCCATACCCTGGAATGACCAACCAACAAGCACGAGAACAAGTCGAGAAAGGTAGTTATTTGGAGAGAATGAAAGAAATGCTGTATAGATCCATAAGGATGTAGTACATATAGTATAAAATAGCAAAGAAATAACGTATAAGTTATCCATCAACCTTAGGAAAAATATTATGAGATTTTTTAATTGCTGAATCTAGCTTTCTGGGAGGAGTAGTGTGATACATAATCTTCTTGAAAAAAAGAATATACTGGTCAGTGACTTAAGGGATCGAAGACTTACAGCATGCTGACTTCTGTTGTTGCAGAACTAAAAGGTGAGATGGAGAGGAGGGATTTACTGCTGCGCAAGCAGAGGCTTGACCAGAATGAATTCTTTAAGATTATGCTAATGCAGGTATAAATATTCTAAACTGCCAGAATTAAAAATCTGTATCCTTCCATCTTCCTTATTAAAGCATTTCAGACAACGATCTAGCAATTATGGTGGAGAACGGTAGGCTCGTTGAGCACTGAAAACCACATTTCTCTTTTACAAAATAATCAAAAGGCTTTTATTTAAAGTAGCAAATAACTGTGAGGATTTGAGGATTTTGATTTATTTTCATCATCTTTAGTGGCATTTCAGAACTGTTCCTCCTCTACAAAGTACCACTGTGTAATTCATAAATAGGTTCTAAGCTAGTAAAACTGCTCAATGATTTAAAAAAAACCCAAACAACTGGTTTGCTGATTTATACAGATTGCCAGTGTTTGTTATGAGCACTGCAGATGACCATCAAAGTTTCTCCTTAAAAGGCCAAATAAAAAAAATCCAATGTTTTCCAGAGCAGAGGAGTGTTTGTGAAAACAAGTCTTAATACCTAAGTACTGATATCCTGTTTTAATCCCCTGAGAATAATAATCTCTTGAAAATGATAAAATTCAAATATTTAGAAGTATGTTTATGCTTTTGCAGCTGTTTATACTGTGGGAAAAACAGTCCTGCTGGCTCATCAGCAATTCTTTTTCAATTTTTTTAATGGAGTGTTCATTTCTTTTATCAGCCTGTTTTCTTGGCTTTTGGTATATAATGGCTCTTCTCTTAGAATAGTCAACTAAGACGCTAGAAATTCCCTTTCTGATCTTACCTATCTCAGTTACTCAATCAGTAAGACCCTTCGATGAATTTAGTCACTTGAATGCTTGCTTTAAACCACGGTAATTTCAATTCTGAATAACTATATAGAATCACTTCACTTTAAGGACAAATAGTAGTTGCTGCTGTCAATGTTTTGAAGAACCACTTTCTAGGGGATATTACCTTGTCGGTAAGTGTCCTAGAGCCTAGCTGTTCTCCTTTGGAGTTAAATGCATTAATCCAGCACCTAGAGCAGATGTATGCCATATAACAGAGGAAAAATATTTCTCAGCTTTACCTGTTGTATGAGACCAGTGTCATTTATACTCTGCTTTAAAAAGAGAGATGCAGAGACCTGTACAGTATGTTTGGAGTCAGAGAGCTGCATTAAGCTGTAGAGTCCTATGTGCCAACTCACTTTACTGTCCACTACCTGTCATTTGCTCAGAGACCTACCTGTGCTAAAGAGTTCATAGAATTACAGAGTCACAGAATGGCTGAGGTCTGCAGGGACCTCTGGAGGTCATCTGGTCTGACCTGCCCTGTTCAAGCAGGACCATCTAGAGCCGAGTGCCCAGGACCATTCCTAGATGGCTTTTGCATATCGTCAAGGATGAAGACTCCAGCACCTGTCTGGGCAACCTGTGCCAGTGCTCAGTCACCCTCACAGTGAAAGTGTTTCCTGAGGTTCAGAGGGAACCTCCCATGTTTCAGTGTGTGCCCATTGCCTCTGGTCCTGTCACTGTGTACTGCTGAAAAGAACCTGGCTCTGTCCTCTTTGCACCCTCCCTTCAAGTGTTTCTGTACATTGATGAGATTGCCCTGAGCCTTCTCTTGTCCAGGCTGAACAGTCCCAGCTCTTTCAGCCTTTCCTCACGTGAGAGCTGCTTCAGTGTCTTTGTCATATTGGTGGCCCTTCATGGGATTCTCTCCAGTGTATCCACATCTCTCCCGTACTGGGGAGCCCAGCACTGGACACAGTACTCCAGGTGTGGCCTCACCAGTGCTGACTGGAGGGAAGAGATCATCTCCCTCAACATGCTGGCACCACTTTTTTTAAAGTAGCCCAGGACACAATTAGCCTTCTTTGCTGCAAGGATGTATTACTGGTGTGTTGTTCAACCCTTGGTGTCCACCAGGACTCTCAGAGCCTTTTCTGCCAAGATGCTTTCCAGCTGGTTGGCCTCCAGCATGTACTGGTGCCTGGGGTTGTTCCTCCCCAGGTGCAGGACTTTGCACTGCCCCTTGTTGAACTGCATGACGTTTCTGTCAGGCCATTTCTCCAGCCTGTCCAAGACCTTCTGGCATATCAGCACCTCCTCCCATTTTGCTGTCATCTGCAAACTTGCTGAGGGTGCACTCTCCCCCATCATCCAGATCATTAATAAAGATGTTCAACAGGACTGGACCCAGTGTTGACTCCTGGGGTACACTTGTAGTTGCTGGCCTCCAACTAGACTTTGTGCCACTGATCACTTCCCTCTGCAGCTTGCCGTTCAGCCAGTTCTCAACCCACCTCACTGTCTGCTCATCTAGTCCATAATTCAACAGTGTCTTTGTGAGGGTTTTAATGGAGACAGTGTTGTAAGCCTTACTGAAGTCCCCGCATCTACCGAGACAGTTATTTCATCATAGAAGGTGGTAAGGTTTGTCAAGCATGACTTGCCCTTAGTGAACCTGTGCTGGCTACTCCTGATGACTTTTGTATCCTTCATAGAATCATAGAATGGTTTGGGTTGGAAGGAACCTCAAAGATCATCTAGTTCCAACCCCCCCTGCCATGGGCAGGGACACCTCCCACTAGACCAGGTTGCTCAAGGCTCCATCCAACATGGTCTTGAACTCTGCCAGGGATGGAGCATCCACAGCTTCCTTAGGCAACCTGTTCCAGTGTCTCACCACCCTCAGAGTGAAGAACTTCTTCCTTGTATGTAGTCTAAACCTGCCTTTTCCCAGCTTCCAACCATTACGCCTTGTCCTATCACTGCAGAACTTTGTAAAAAGTCTTTCCCCACCCTTCTTGTAGGCCCCCTTCAGGTACTGGAAGACCGCTATAAGGTCTCCCCAGAGCCCTCTTCATGTACCTGGAGATCATTTCCAGGATTAGCTGCTCCATCATCTTCCCAGAGATCAAGGTGAGGCTGACCAGCCTGCAGTTCCTTGAGTCCTCCTTGAAGACTGGAGTGACATTTGCTATACTTCAGTCTTCAGGCACTTCTCCCAGTCACCATGATAGATGGAAGATTATTGAGAGTGGCCTTGCAGTGACATCAGCCAACTCCCTCAGCACTCATGAGTGCATCCCATCAGGTCCCATGACTTATGGAAGTCCATTTTGCTTAAGTATTCCGCTTCCACCAAGCATACATCTTCCTTGCTCCAGACTTTCCCCCTGGTCTCTGAGGCCTGGGATTCCTGAAGGCTGGTCTTGCTTGTAAAGACTGAGGTGAAGAAGGCATTCAGTACCTCAGCCTTTTCCATGTCCTGTGTCAACAGGTGCCCTACCTCATTCAGCAGTGAGCCCACATTTTCCCTAGTCTTCCTTTTGACACTTACATACTTAAAGAAGCCCTTTTTGTTGTCCTTGACATCCCTGGCCAGATTCAATCCCATTTGGGCTTTAGCTTTCCTAACTTGCTAAAGTTAGGATGCTCAGACAATGTTTCTGTATTCTTCCCACATTACCTGGTTTTGTGTTTGAAATTGTCCAGGAGCTCCTTTTTCATCCATGCAGTCCTCCTGGCATTTTTGCCCAACTTTCTACTCATTGGGAAGTTGCCTTCATTGCTGTGAGTACGTCTTTGGTCCAGGATAGGATGATATGCTGGAATGACCACTTAACTGTGGCTTCTGAATGATTAGCTGCTAATTTCCTTAACTGATTGTTTATTGTTCTGCTCATCACTGAATCAGAGACCTCCTTCAGTTGGTGGCAGCAGAGAGGTGTGGAGGACCACTGCCTAGCTAAGCAAACCAAAATAGTTAGAGAAAAATAAGAAGATGGGAAAATATAACAATTAAGAAAACAAGAGGGAGGAAAAATAAATGGATGAAGTGCAAGTGGGACGGGAACTTCTTAAAGAGACAAAAAAGGGAAGAGACATGATAATAAAAGTTGATCCATTTGGGAAAAAAAAAAAAGCAAAGAAAGTTGCTCCCATTTTAATGTTTATTATTGATTTCCTCAGTGGGGGAAAAAAAAGGGAACACAATTAAAACCTAGATGATAGCTACTTCCGAAGATACAGGAAACAAATCTATGCAGGTTGCTGCCCTTAGGGATGAGAAGCATACTGACAAGCTACCATGCCCAACTTAAATGTCATTGGTACCTTATCTTGTATATGTTATACATTGAAGACTTTCCTCATATTACCCTGAAGATCTTTTTTAATGCAATGATCTTGAACTTCACTCTTTCTTTTTAGATTTGTCAATATGCATCAATGTTCAATGCTAAACGTTTTCCTCTTCTTTTTGTGTACCAGGCTACCGAATGTCAGCACCACAAAAATGTCCAGAAGACATATATAAAGTAATGCAGAGGTGCTGGGACTACAAACCAGAAAACCGGCCAAAATTCAGTGAGATTCAGAAAGAGCTGTCTTCAATCAAAAAGAAAGTGACATAGTGATAAACAAGTGCCAAACTCAATGTTTGGGACTTTATTTTCCAGTGAATTTTTTTCCCTCAAACACTATGCGTTTATACATTATTTGCAATATTCTTCTAGGATTACTTTGAAATTAAGTGGGTTTTTATATATGTGTGTACCATCTTGAATGATGTCTACACCTGCGTTAAAGATATATACTGCGAAATGCTATATATCCAGTCACAGTAATATTGTAATTTAGGTTACATGTAAATAGAAAGGCACATACTATAAGGGGATTTAAGGGACTGTGGCTTCTATCTGTTTTACAGCAAGTAACTGCTAGTGACATTTTTCAGAAGTTTTCTACTTCAAGCTGTGTTGTCACTCTGCTGTCCCTGTCCTATATGTCAATACCAGCAGCACTCTAATGGTGCTGTCATACAAGTTGGCCTTAAACTGAAGACAGTTTTGACAAGTATTTCAACTAAGGACTTTTATATTTTTTAAGTTCTTTCTTCAACTGAAATTTTTAAGTGATACTCTGTTTTAAAGATTGAGGTCAGTTAGGTTCTATATGCAAATGTGCTCACTGAACAATGAAATCCAGAGTTTTCTTTGGTAGAAAACTGAGATACTTGTGCATTTCTAACTTAAGCCACACCTTTTCTTCCTACAAAGCCATCAGAATTCAGTAATATGTCTCCTTTACAATGACCTATGTTTATTTAAGAAACAAAAAACTCAGTATCAAGTCTTGACTACACATTAAGAAATACTGCAAAACATCTGCCTTCCAAAGAATATGTAAAAGCAGTAGGCCAACGAAAGATGTTTACTAATGATAGCAGCAGATGACAAATAGCAATGATCTTAGAGGAGTTAAAGACTGTGAATTACTAGATTTGCTTTTGATCCTGATTTTTTTTCCTTAAATTGGTAATAATTCTCAGAATGTAGCTGGAGCCTACAAAAGTTTATGCTAAGCAAAAGTAGGTTCCATGCATAGTGTCCAAAGGAAAATACTGCTTATATATGGCATAAGGAAATTGTTCAAGGAACCAGAATAAAGAACTCTGTATAAAGCCTCTGACAGGCTAAGCAAGGCAGAGTAGAACTACTAACCTTCTAAATTTTTAAATCATTGCAATCAGATTTAAAAAGACTGGGGACTGGCAAGTTTTAGATGCCACCAGGTATAAAAACCTTATATATATATATAAAAACGTCTGCTAGAAAGAATAAAAACTTACTAGATAGGGAAGGGATGAAAGGCAGAGTTTCTTACTCTGGCTCTGGGTCTCTTTGCAGTTGGAATTATTTCTAGGGCCTTACATAGTAAGAGGAACAAGTTACAGTATCCTGGTCTGAGTTCTAGAGTTAAGGTGCTTAAAATTCTTCTGAGAAAACTGAAATTTTCGGATCAAGGGGTGCCAGTTGCTGCTAATGCAAGTAAGAAACAGGGACTGTAAGACAGCATCTAGAATGTTAGTTAGCCCTGTGTTTTATTGTTACAGTGGGATTGAGATGAAGTCAGTGGCTACATTATATTTTAGTTCTGTTAAGGTGACTTTTCTATTGTCCACAACATTTTTGCCCTCTAAAATGTATTTATAGTAGTGAGCGGTAATGTTTAAGGGCTATGTGTGACCAAAATATGTGTAGTCTAGAAGAGTTTGTCTGTTACATTGGAGTTAGTGTCCAAATAAAACAACAAATGATCATGCTGGAGCACGTCACCTGCATTTGAGGTGGAACTGTCAGCGTCCAAGTATAAGGAATGGTGAGTGCTTCTTGCATTTCTTAAGTGTTTTTTTTCTTTGAGCTAAGGAAGCATATATATACCTATGAAGGTATAATGCTTGTAAAACTTGGTGGCATAAATTTAAACTTCCTTATAAGCATACTGGATATATTTACTTAGTTCTGTATTTCCAAGTAGCCCAAAGATATTTTTCAAGAGCAATGGGGAACATTCTTGTTAGTTTGTATGCTTTTAAGTTGTACACAGTGTTTGTGCCTTAATTTGCTAGTATGCTAATGCAAATACCAGTGTACTAAGATTTAAGGAATCTTCCACAATCATTTGGAAAAATCCAGTCTTCATCCAACTGCATGTCGTTATGTATGCATCACTAACGTCTACAAGTGAGGATAAAAGTGTCTCCTTGGTCAGCATTCATAGCTTCTCTGGAGGGTTAATAGTATTCTTCTATGAAAGAGACGAACTGTTTCTTTGCTATATGCCCTCTTGACAGCAAAGGAGTACTATTTTATTTTTATAAAATAAAATACTGTTTTATTTGTCTTAAATTAACCGATTGCCATCCTGACTCTCACATAAAGTTAAAAATTGTACTCATATTTTATTCTGAAATAGTTAAAATTTGTAATTCATATCACACTTCTGTTTAAATTTAAAGACTTTTTAGAACATGGAATTTCTACAGCACCAAGAAGATTTATTATTATTCCTAAAGTAGGAATAATTAGAACTTCAGTTCAAAAATAACAGCTCTTTGGGAGAACACCAGAATGAGTTTATAGGTATAGAATAAATTTAAACACAGGTACATGTCTCTTCAATTATTTAAACTGTTTTCTTATCATTAATTTGGTAGTTTGTGGCAGAACTTGTTCATTGTGTCTTACTTGTAATTATTGCAATTATACAAATTACTAAGTGAAATCCATACCTATAGATACTGGGTTTAAGTTTTTGTAAACTTATCACAGGGGAGTTCAGAAAGAAACCTGCCATACAATGAAATTTAAAAGAAAGACATGGTACTCAGGAACTAAAGCCGACATATCTGCTTTCTGTGGACTTTTGATGACTTAGTCTTGCATTATTCATAGGTTAAACAGATACTGGTCATTTGGCTCATGTACTGTATTTATCCTAGAGAACTTACAAAAAAAGGTAAGACTCAGTCTCTTTTCCAAGTATAGTCTTTCGGGTAGGTTCTTACACTGGCACTGTACCAACCAGGTGGACCCAGAGGGAATCCTGAAATTTTTACACTATTAAATGAGAGAAACTGGATACTGTTACGTGTCAGGTAGAAATACCTCAGCCTGTAACATAAGATAGGCTTTGTAAGAGGTTATCTGTTAACTTTTGTCTTTTTCCAAGGAGTTGTATTCATCATTTTAAGAAAGATTGTTTTGAGGGCAAAAAATTCATCTCTTGTTTTCAGTAGAAATTAAGCAGACATGTTAGCTTCAGAGTTCAGTCGTCAGTGAAATCATGAGGATTCCTAAGCATTTCAGTTTTACTGAATGTACAATAACAAAAACTGTCTTGTCTGGAAACAAAACTTGCTTCAGCAAAGTGTGATCTTACAGAGTCAGCATCCTGCCAAGACGTTCTCTTTGAAATGTACATTTTCATTAGTTTCTAATGAAGCCAATTAACTAGTTTCTCATTTAGCAACTACAGTTATATTGCATTTCTTAACAAAAATCTGCCTTTTTGCAGAGTTGCCTAATATTTTTATTGGAAGTTGTTATTGGAACATGGATTCACAGAAGGCTATTAGTGAGAACTGCAGTTTGTAAAGTAAGCCTGATCGTATTGATGAGAAACAGAAATCTGATTAAGGAAATATTACATTATTCATCCTTAAGTATTTTTTGATCCATGTCTTTGACCACCTGTTATGCTTACTCAAATCCTACAAGCACATCACTAAAACTTACTGCACAACACTAAAAGTGACTATGAAGTTATCAATTTGTTATCTTTTATAACTATTTTATTACCACTTTTGCACATTGTACAGATACTAAAGAAAAAAAACTTCCCTGAAATTACAGAGTAACCTACACTCAGAAGCATTAAAAAATGTCTCCCCGCTCCCCAAATTTTCCCAGATGTGCTGCTGCACAGGGATTAACAATAGTGATTAACTACTAGCCCTGTTTCCATTATTCTTGCTGTCATATCCTCTAACTGGCAGTGCCACTGATGCACTTGAAACAGTGCACTATATGAAGAGGTGGCTTAGTGTGTAAATAGTGTCATCAAACCTGATATTCAAGAGCAGGTGTTCTGAAAACGGCTGATTGTTGCAAATAATAACAACTCATTATAAAGATGGAATGAAGAAGAGGCTAATTGGGAGAATCCACTTTCTATAACAACTGTCCTGTTTGTAGGCAATAGAATTGTTTGTTAGGCCAGCACACTTGGATTTGTAACATTTTTATCACTGAGCATAAAATAGTTTGCTATTAAAAGATGAGTTCACCAATTAATTTTTTTTTTCCTGATGCACAAAAGGACATGTGATAGTGTTGGAAGCATTCTTGCTAGGCAAGTCAGAATATGTTGAGGGAAGAATATGGAGGGACAAATACCCCTACTACCAACCAAGGTACATATTTTTTTCTTCTTAGAATCATATTCATGCAGTCCTCCACTTTCAGGAATACAGGACTTTCTTTTGGAAATAGGAATAGACCTTTTGTAATTAGAAGGTAATAGGGCAAGTCCAGTATTCCTGAAGTTCCAAACAGCCATGAGTTTTTAAGAATGATCTGGTAAATTTAGAACATCAGCTCTATTTAAAATGTTTTCTACAAGTTTCCTTCTGCAGATTTGCTGTGAAAAAAAAGCAGTCCTTAAACATCAGTAATAACTTACCAAAAAAAAAAGCATCAACCTCAGAAACTTATCAAGCTTCTTTAAGAGTAACTTCAGTAAAGAATATTTTTTGTAATCTTGTACTAGAATTCCCCCAGGATAGCCTTCCTTTCTAAAAAGCTGGGAGGGGGGGCGGGGAGCAAGCTTAAAAAGCTGCAAGCTCCAAGTTGAAACAGAAGAATCCCTTCACTTGTGACATTCTGAACAGTCTTTCAAGTATTGCCATAGTTTCTTTCCTGAAACTGATAATGCAGCTGTGATTTCCAGCTCTAACATACATTTCAGGATTGCATATTAGTGCATTATTAACACTCAGCTTTACTTTCAGACCAAGGAAGGGAAGACTGTAATTGAAAAGTACAGCAAGTTCTTGCCTGGTAGCTCCCATCTTTTCTTTAACTTCTGCCTTCAGTTGTCAGAGTCTTTGTGTTCATTATATAAGCACCACATAGAACAGGATCTGCAAGCTAGACATTGTCTTTATATCAGCAGCTAATCCCCCAAAGTTTTACAGCTGTGACTGTAGAAGCCAACTTGGTTTTGGTTCTCCATCAAATAAGCAAAAGCAATTTCTGTATTTCACCTTTACTACTAGTCTATAAAACAGGAAGCTTCAGAAATACATTTATTGTTCTCTCCAAGGGAATGCTACTCCACCGATAACCTAACTTACCCTCATGTCCCTGTTATGTCCCTCTGCCTCTCTGACGTAAAATTCTAACTGGGATGTATATCCAGGTATAGAACTTG